CTTTCTTAGGAATTCCATGCAAATATATTGGGTGATATCCCTACTCAATCACATCCTTGTGTTTTAATTCCCAACTGCTTCTTAACAGCTCAACAATTGTTCAGCGATCCCAGATGCCCTGCAGGTAGAAATCCAGAATGCTAATCTGAAGAATCAAATTCCATTCATGTATGGATATATGTATGGATGATGTTATCTCTCAGCTCTCCCCACTGTTGTCTTCCTGTAGATCCATACCTCTTCCTATCAACCATGTCTTACGGATGGAACCACTCCTACCCCAATTGTGTCCCTGTGACCGTCACTCTGCAGCCACCTCCATTCAGCATGAACATCCCCCGCAATTCGCTCTCCTGCTCCGACGAGTATTCCTGTGTTGATCCCTGCAGGCCCTGCTCTCCCACCATCTGTTCTCCGGTGGTCTGCTCCCCCACCATGTGTGCTCCTTCCGTGTGTGCTCCTAAGGCCTGTGGACCTCCCCAATGTGGTCCTGTACACTGTGGTCCCGTATCATACCGTTCTGTATCATGTCGTCCTGTATCATGTGCTCCTATATCATGTCGCCCTGTATCGTGTGGTCCTGCGTCCTATGGCCCCGTATCATGTGGTATCGTATCATATGCTCCTGCGTCCTATGGTCCCATGTCATGTGGTCCCGCGCCCTATGGTCCCGTGTCATGTGGTCCTGCGTCCTATGGCCCCGTATCATGTGGTATCGTATCATATGGTCCTGCGTCCTATGGTCCCATGTCATGTGGTCCCGCGCCCTATGGTCCCGTGTCATGTGGTCCTGCGTCCTATGGTCCTGTGTCATGTGGTCCTGTATCATGTGGTCCCGTATCCTGTGGTCCTGTATCGTCTGCTCCGGTGGTGTGTGGTCCAGGACTCAGCCGCAGAGGATACAGCTCCTGTTACAGTTCCGGCAGCGTTTCTTCTCGGAAATGCCTTCCCAGAGTCCGGAGCATTTGTGAGCCGTGCACCAAATACTAAGATGGGACAGGACAGGGTAGAATGAGGAAGCTGCTCTTCAGGTCAACTACCCTTACGGATATCAGTTCTCAGCGGCTTCATCTCTCAGTCAACATCTTCATGTTTTTTGCAAGCTTCTGCTTTGTTGGTTGGTTGGTGGCTTAACTCTTTGTGACCTTTGACCGCAGAGAAAAATATATACATGCTTTGCTTCTTGATCCAAATAAAACCTAAATGGCGTAGAAAAAAAATCACGGTTTCTTGTTCTGATGGTTTACTGGCATTAACTTTCCTCTGAATTGAATTGGACAATGGTGAAAGGAGCACATTGAAAAGAGGGAGGGAGGGAAGGAAGAGGGAGGAAAGGAGGGAGAGAGGGAAGAAGGAGGAATGGAGAGGCAGGAGGGGGGATGAAGGGAGGGTGGGAGAGAGGGGGAGACAAATCCAAAATCTTATTTTAGAAAAAAAACCACTCTGTGTGAGACAACAAAATATCAATAGGTAATCACTAAAATTTCACTAATCAAGTAGTAGAGGCATGTGAGTTGGTTCCTTCTACGCTGACTGGTCAAACTGTATTGCATTCAGATTTGATTGCCACAATGCGAGAAGGGTAGTGAGGAACATCTAAAATTTCACTAATCGAGGAGTGGAAACATACGAATCGTGTTCCTCTTCTACCCTGACTGGTCAGACTGGATTATGTCCAAATCTGGATTCCACAATGCAAGAAGGGTGGCGAGGAACATCACTGGTGGCTTTCAAGCAAAGGTTGAAGAACCATCCGGGATGACCTGAGGATTCTTCAGCAAGGCATTTGACAAAGTAGACCACAACCTACTTCTTGGTAAGCTAGAAAAAAGTGGGAAAGAGAGCATCACCATCAGATGGATTTGTAATTGACTGACAAGCTGTAGTCCACGAGGAATCCTTAATGTTACTACATCTACACGGAGGGAAATAAAGAGTAAAATACCACGAAGTTCCATCATAGGCCCTGGACTCTTCAATATCTACATAAATGACTTAGATGAGGGAATAGAAGGGGAACTTACCAAATTTGAGGGTGATAGCAACAGCAATAGCAGTTAGACTTATATACCGCTTCATAGGGCATTCAGCCCTCTCTAAGCGGTTTACGGAGTCAGCATATCGCCCCCCACAGTCTGGGTCCTCATTTCACCCACCTCGGAAGGATGGAAGGCTGAGTCAAACTTGAGCCGATGAGATTAGAACCACTGAACTGCAGATAACAGTCAGCTGAAGTGGCCTGCAGTACTGCACCCTAACCACTGCGCTACCTCGGCTCTAAGATACTAAGTTGGCAGGAATAGCCAACACCCTAGAAGATAGGCTCAAGATCCAGATGGATCTTGACGGACTTGAACACTGGGTCCTATCTAACACAATGGAATCCAATGTAGTGGAATGTAAAGCCTTACACGTAGGTAAGAAAAACCCAAAGACATGTATCGACTGTGTGAAAACAGGCTTAATAGCAGTGAGAGGGATCTTAATAAATGTGAGAGGGTTATTGGAGTCCTCGTGGACAACCGGTTGAATGTGAGCCAACTGTGTGCAGCGGTAACCAAAAAAGCCAACCCGATACTAAGCTGCATTAACAGAGGGATACAATCAAGATTAAGGCATGAGCAGTGATCCAATATATGAGGGGCTGCCAAAACTGGATGCAGTATTCTACGAGTGATCTTACTAAGGCTTTGTAAGGATTATTTACTCCAGAGGTGTTTCTGGTGAGATCTACCAGCAATCTCAATCAGAAATGTCTAATACCTCTCTGGAAAACCTCACCCCACCTCACTGTCTCTCTGGAAGGACCCCACCTATGGGCTGAAGCATCAACAAGGAGGAAGGAGGCTTAGGAAAAGTGAAATCACCACTGAAACTGCTTAGGTGTTACCCCCAGGAGACAAAGAACGTGGTGAGCAATTAATTGCGGCCTTGAGAAGTTGAATACATCACCCCTTCTGCAACTGTATAAAAGCCCCAGAGATTCACAGTCCAGCATCAGATTCCTCCAAAGCTGAGAGAACTCACTCGGAGCCGTTTCCAGCGCATCATCCGGTAAGTAAGGCAGGGAGAAGTTTTAACTTGTGGGAACCTCCTGGATGATCTTGCTTTGATATTCCTTGGCACAGGTGTCCGAGCGGTTTACTTCTTATAAAAAAGGATCCTTAAGAAAGGAATTAGAAGTTCTTAGCTTCAAATCTTGATTTTTCTTTGCTGATGGGTTGAGCCCAACAAAACGAAAAGGAGATCTCTCCAACTTTTCGTACCAAAGTTGAGATGTTTGGGTAGGTCGTAGCCTTCTCAACATCTTAGCTTTAGCACCCAACCTTCAAATATCTGTCGGTGGTAATTTTATGAAGTCTAGGAAGTCATTGTATTATTGCATGAACTGTTTGCATCAGAGAGAGCGTAAGGAAGAGAAGAGACGAATTATCCAAGGTGTTCAATTTCATGAATATTTATATATTTTAATTAATTAAACATGTACTGTTTAATTAAACAAATGTTGATCTGTCACAGGGAAAAGGGTGTGGAGTTTCCCTCAAAATCGCTTCCAACAAGTGGAAGCTACTCAGAGGGAGATGCAAACTCAAGGATTCTGCTAGAGGAGGGGTCTCCAACCTTGACAACTTTCAGAGTTATGGACTTCAACTCCCAGAATTCAATGTTGTTGGCTGAGTAATTCTGTGAATTGAAGTCCACCAGCCCTGAACTTGCCAAGGTTGGAGATTCCTGTCCTAGAGCTATTCAGGACTAAAGAGGTCTTCTTCTTGGACTTGTGAATATTCAAGCACAGTATGAGATGGTCTGAGGAATCCTATCTGGGCAGGGATTTGAAACAGAAGACTTTCAAGGTCCCTTCCAAGCATGTTTTTATGGATTCCTACCATGAAAGGTCCGGAGAGTCTGTGTTTCATCCTTTGCTCGAGATGCATCACAGATTCTTAAAACAAGTGTTGGAAAATAGACTGTAAAGGCTCAAATTTGACTAAGCTTTGCACCATCCTTTCTCTCTTGATTCCTTCCTGTAGATCCACCCACTCTTTTGAACCGAGATGGCCTCCAGATGGGATCTCTGCTCCTTCGACAGCCCACCCACCACCGTGACCATCCAGCCACCCCCTTTCTCCCTCAGCATTCCAGGACCTTCTCTCTACTGCCCAGACCAGCCTCTCTGCATTGAGCAGTACAACCCTTGTGTTCCTCTTCCGTATTGTAGAAGTCTTCCCCTCCCATCCAGCAGCGTTTACTCCCAGAAGTCCCAGCAGCAGCAGCAGCAGCAGCAGCAGCTGCAGAAATTTCAACAACGCTTCTAAGTATTGTTATGAGAAAAAACCAGATCACCGAACCAACCGAGAGCTTCTTGACGTCTGAAAATATCACAGGAAGATCAGGACCTCAAATGCCATCCTCCAAAATTGCTCTCTCCCCACCCCCCCGTGGAACTTGTTAAATTTTCTGAGGGACCTCAGGTTGTAGCATAACTGGAGAACACCGATCTGGGATGTGTCTCCATTTGGGCTTTCCAAAGATTCTTCACTCACCCTGGAGGGAATTGGGTTTCATGCTTGCATAGCTTCTGTTGAATTCAACACTTGTTTGATGGCTTGTCCGCTTTAACATCGACATCTGGAATATTAGCTTCTCTTCCCCCCCCCCACCTTCCAATAAAATCTTTTATTGCATTCAAACTTCCTGTCTTTTGCTCATGGTTGTCTGAATCTCCCTGTTTCTTGATGGTTCTCCAAGATGAAATGCCTCCTTTCAGTTTAGGTGGGGTCAGTGAATAACAACGGTCAGAATAACCAGAAAAGGACCTTGGAGGTCTTCTAGTTCAGCCCCCTGCTCGCACTGGAAACCCCAGACCATTTCAGGCAAATTGAGGTCCAGTCTCTTCTTGAAAACCTCCGATGATGGAGAAGGAAGGAAGGAAGGAAAGAAGGAAGGAAGGAAGGAAGGAAGGAAGGAAGGAAGGAAGGAAGGAAGGAAGGAAGGAAGGAAGACTAACAGAGTGGGGAGAAACCTTGGTACTGCATCCAGTTTTGGTCACTATAAAAAAAGATGTTG